CACCCCCCCCCACCCCCGTCTCCGTCAATGGTGTCCTGCTTTACCAATGTTAAAATCTGGTCACCTTAAGAGTAGCTGGGACTACAGGCACTAGCCTACCATGCCTAGCTACTTTTTAAGTTAATTTTTGTAGAGATGTGTGGTGAAGCAGTAATGGGAGTGTTTTGCTATTTTGCCTAGGCTGGCCTCCAACACATTAACTCAAGTGATTCTCCCATCCCACTGACCTAGCTTCCCAAAGTGCTGGGATTACTGATGTGAGCCGAGAGGCCTGGGCCTATGCTCATATCTTGTTCTGCATTTACATACACACACCCAGGGGAAATCTATAATTATGTAACTTTACAGTACTATTTGACACCTTTCCATTAACTGTACCTTGTAAACACTTTATTTAGAATATATAGTTCTACATCATTCTAACTCCTTGAAGTATTCCATACTGTGGATATACCATAGCTTATCCAACCATCTCCCTATCATTCAACCATTTTGAGTGTTCACGGTGTGACAAGTTTAGAAAATACAATGAACTATAAAAACGTCCTGGTTTCCTGCCTTCTTAAGTGCTTTCAAACAAATGGAGAAGGGGAGACGGGCTGTCAAATATAACATGAAATGTGAAATTACACCTACGAAGGGAAGTTACCATGCTTAGAGCTTCAGTAACAGATTTATCTAGTTGGGGAGAAAGCATTTTCCAAGGGATCTGAGGGGTGGGTGAATGTGTTAAGAGTGGGGCTTAGGGTAGCTACTAAACCTAAATGGTAGCAACAATGTGGTGGAAGAAATATGTGGGAGTGGCGAAAATTATGAGGAACTTGCCTTTTGAAGTATTTTTAAAACACATGTGTATCTTATTTTGTAAACAGTAAAGCAAGATCACAAATATTTTTAAAGAGAGGAGGCTTTTCACTTCTCAAAGTAAGGAATTCAAGTTTCCAGCCGAGGGCTCGGCCCGTAGTACAGTGGTTACGGCGCCAGCCACATAAACTGAAGTTGGCAGGTTAGAACCGGTCCAGGCCAGCTAAAACAACAATGACAACTGCAACAAAAAATAGCTGAGCGTTGTGGTGGGCGCCTGTGGTCCCAGCTATTTTGGAAGCTGAGGCAAGAGAATCGTTTAAGCCCAGGAGTTTGAGGTTGCTGTGAGCTGTAACGCTACGGCACTCTACCGAGGGCGACATAGTGAAACTGTCTCAAAAAAAAAAAAAAAAAAAAAAACAAAAAAGTTTCTAGGAGGGAAAAAGTACAAGCAAAGCAAGAATTCCCCGTTGACTAGGGTAATAGCCGATGAAAATGTCTTGGAACTCTCCGGTCTTGAAACTGAATTAGGAATCTACTGCTTGACCAAGGGTGGTATTGGGGTCTAAGAGTTTTAGGTCTAGTTCCTTAACAGGTTGCCCCTATTTCTCCGTCCACATGTAGCCTTTTAAGCCCATCTATCCACAAAAGGCAGGGCGGGTCTTTACCCCTTCGTTAGGGTAAGCGTTTCGTCCTGTGCGTGGAAAGGGGTAAGTTTAATGGAATACCCGAAGCTCGCAACGTTAAAGACGGGAGCGAGGGACACTGTCCTAACCCACAATGCACAGCTCGCCTTTCCGGAAGTAAGGACAATATTCCCTTCCGACGAATTTACCCGGCAGAAGCGTCTCGCTTTGAGTCTGATTGGAAGTGACGAAGCGAGGTATTGTGGGACTTTGTCCGTCTTCCAGTACGCATGTGTCGACGCCCAGAGGTAGCGGCGACGGGAGATGCTCGTCAGCAAAACTAGCCAATCGCCTGCGTGCGCAAACGCAGTGGCGCAGCCAGCACCGGAAACACAGGGGGATGGGTCGGCGGTGACGCGATTCTGTCCGCGTTGGAGGGGCCGGGCTGCTGCCGGAGTCGCAGCGGCCGTCGCGTGACGTGGCACAGCAGGATCCTTAAGGCCAGACCCGGAGCTGCCGCGCCAGTCGCCCAGTAGGTCCTCGTTCCGCTAATTCTTGTCCCGAAGCTTTATCCGACACACCTACCGGCGAGACGTTCCTGCCGCCCTCTTTCTTCCTCAGCTCTTTATCTTCCCTCTCCTTCAGTTTGCCGGGAGCAGGTAAAGAGAAGGCCTGGGGACGCTCCAAACCCCTTCTGCCCATCGCAAGTGCCACTTAGCGCCATGGGTCTCACCATCTCTTCTCTCTTCTCCCGCCTCTTCGGCAAGAAGCAGATGCGCATTTTGATGGGTGAGTGAGGGGCCCCGGTGGACATCGGGGAAGGCCCGGACTCCGTGCTTGGGGCGGCCTCGGGGCTTGACTTTCCTCCGTCGGCTGTGGTGGGGGAGGGGCGGCGGGTTGTGGGTCTGGAGTGCTCCTTGAGGGGGAACAATGGGCTGAGGGCGAACAATTGCCCCATATCTGTCGCCTGACTAGGCAGGGACAGGGCCTCGGGCAAGGTTTCCTCTTCAGTGTTTAGCTTTCTCTCCTTGATCTTAAGAAAAATGGACAAGATTGGGCAGAAATGAGGGGTACTCAGAAGTGAACACTAGTGAGGCCCATTCTGAGAGCGCAGTCTGCATTCCCTCTTCCCGGGGTATGGGCGGCGGTTCGGAGGGGGGCACAGCGACTCCAGCTTCTCGCCTGTCCTTTTCCGCTTGGTGTACACACTCTGCACACACGATTGGTATGTGAGCGAGCGGCCGCCGAATACCGGGAGCCGCCCGGGGGCAGGAAGTGACCAGGCCCAGTGCTGTGGCTAGGGAGCACCCAAGGTTTCAAAGAGTCTGGCGTCCTTAGCTCTCACTGTGCTAAACTTCACATTCCGCTGGATTCGACTTCATTTTTACCCCTTCTTATTAATAAGTTCATTCCCCGAAAATTGGATTTATCTTGTGTTTGTTTCTTTGGCCGCTTTTAAGAACTTGAAGTATTTGTTTTATTCTCTTTGGTTAGAAGCCAATTTTTTAAAAAGCCTGATATATTTTCAGCTACTGAACTAAACATGACACTTAATTTTAGGGTAGCTTTGTTAAATAACTGTAAATTGTCTTCTTTTGGAATTCTTTTTAGAAAATGGGCTTTTGAAAAACTGCTTTCAAAGGGCAGTTTTTTACTTAGCTGAGGGAGAAGAGCTGTCACTCAGTTGGTGTAAGCATCCCCTCCCCTGAGCATTGAGAGTAGTCTGTACATCTCTGCTAAACTCTGTGGACTTGAATAGTGCTAAAAGGAGCCCTTGTAACTTTGAACGTTGAAACTTGTTAGCTCATCAGTGTTTGGAGAAGGTGTTATTTTTGAGTTCTGCTACTATCAAAAGTTTTCAACGACAAGTTTCTGTATTATTTCAAGATATGTGAGGAAGGAGAGTATCCATGTTTAGTTTTTGTTTTACTTCCTGTTAATTCAGCTTTCTTAGAATTCATAAAATAATTGTTCAGGATTCATTCAGAAAAGTAAATAGTTGTTTTCTCTTTTTCCATTTTTTTGAGACAAGAGTCAGCTCTGTCACCCTGGCTAGAGTGCCATGGCCTCAGCCTAGCTCACAGCAATTCAAACTCCTGGGCTCAAGCAATCTTCTTGTCTCAGCCTCCCGACTAGGTGGGACCACAGGTTTGTACCACTGGGTCTGGATAACTTTTTTTCCTATTTTTAGTAAAGACAGAGTCTGCTTTTTATTCAGGTTGGTCTCCAACCCTGACCTCAACCTCCTCCCACCTCAACTTCCCAGAATGTTAGATTACAGGTGTAAGCTACCCTGGACTGGCCAGTGTTTCATCTCTCTCGCTCTCTTTTTTTTTTTTTTTTTTTAAGACAGCCTCATTTTGTCATCCCTGGGAAAGTGCTGTAGTGTCGTAGCTCACAGCAACTTCAGACTCTTGGGCACAAGCAATCGTACTGCCTGAGCCTCCCAGATAGCTGAGATTACAGGCACCCACCACAATGCCTGGCTGTTTGTTTTCTCATTCCCGTATCTCATATTTTCTTTGTGAAGGGGAAAGACGATTATTTTAGGAGGGCAAACATATTATTTAAGTGGCTGAAAATTGACAGTCTAAAAAAGGATCTGAAGTCAGTGGGAGGACTTTGGACTGTGATAGATGAATTTCCAGCCTGTTCCTTAAAGAGATTGAGCAGTATATGGTTGTGTTCCCGCAAATGTAGTTTATTAGTCTTTACTTAAAGACTTATTGTAAATGAATTGCTGTTTTTCATTTCCTTAGTCTTTTGCAGTTGCTAGAAGTGTGTGTGTGTGTGGGGAGGGGGGTGCCTGGTAAGGTAGCTCACGCTTGTAATCCCAGCACTTTGGGTGTATGGGGGAGTTCAAGACCAGCCTGAGCAATACAGTAAGACCTCATCTCTACGGAAAAATAAAACAGTTCACTATATATGGTGGGTACACACTTGTAGCCCCAGGTTCTCAGGAGACTGAGGCAAAAGGATTACTTGAGCCAAGGAGTTAGAGATTACGGTGAGCTAATGATTGTGGCACTGTGCTCCAGCCTAGGTGATAGGACCTGTCTCTTCAAGGAAAAAAAAATGCTGAGGGGGAAGAAAGGTAGAATTATGCTATAAACACTTTCTTATATTTACTATATTGGGGAAGCATTTCCTTCCCTCCAGATAATGATTGGAAGAACATGGAAGAGGAACAGTATTTATCTTTCTGTGTTTGTGTGTGGATTGAAGTTATGAAGTAATGGGAGTTATTTTATTTCAAATGTTTTATTGGGTTCGCTATTGTTTTGCACTCTAATGTTGATCTAATTAGTTTTCCTTGTTAAAAAAAAGTCAACTTTCATGGTAATTCATCAAAGGAAGTAGCAACATATGAGGGAAATATGTGCATAAACAGAGAAAAACATGATTTGGAAGTTTGATGATTCTTAGATTTTTCTGTCTGCGTTTATGAGTGATTGTATGTATAATCACTTTTAAAGTGTCTGCTTTGTTCAGCTATTGGAATCATCAGTTAATGTTTTTTGTTGTTGTTTTGTTTTGAGACAAAACATGTCTTACTTTGTCTCCCTAGGTAGAGCGCTGTGGCATTATAGCTTACAGCAAGGCAACCTCAAACTCTTGGGCTCAAGCAATCCTCTTGCCTCAGCCAACCAAATAGCTGGGACTACAGGCACCCAGCACAATGCCCAGCTATTTTTTTTTTAGAGACAGGGACAGGGTCTCACCCTTGCTCAGGCTGGTCTCAAATCCCATAAGCTCAGGCAATCCACCCTTTTCTGCCTCTCAGAGTGAGTGCTAGGATTACAAATGTGAGCCACTGTGCCCAGCAAGTTAATGTTTTTTTTATATTGCATTAGTGAATATTTCATATTGCATTACTTCTTTTTGTTGTTGTTGCAGTTTGGCTGGGGCCCGGGTTTGAACCTGCCACCCTTGGTATATGGAGTCAGTGCCCTACTCACTGAGCCACAGGCACTACCCAGCATTACTTCTTTTTATTTGATAATGCTTAGATAAAATTCATGCCTTCTTGAGTCAGTGGCTTTTTTGGACTTTGCATTTTAAAGTGTATTGAGAGATAGCAACTAATATGTCTGGTTTGTCAAACTGCTATGGAGATTTAAATTTAATTCCTATACTAGCTGTTTTCCCAAAAGTTAAGTAATTTTTAAAAGTGTTGGAAATTAGCTTGTAATTAATTATAATTAAATATGAAAAGCCAACACAGTCTGTCAAATTTAATGTCATTTGAATTATTGATTGATAGAAATTGTGTGGTAGACATTTTTAAGGGGAAATTATTTGTATGAATGACATTGCCCAAGTTAGAAGGCAGTAGCTTCTGCATTTTATTTTAAGTTTGGTGTTTATGTCTAGATCCATGGCAAGATGTAACTTTGGTAAATGAATCTCTAAATTGTGTTTCTACAGAGGAATTATTATCTTTACTTTCTACTTTTGAGTTCTTGCCCTTCCTACTGAAAAGCTCAAAAAGTGTTGCTTTCTAAAAGTTTTGTAACTACAGTGCAGTTTTGTATTGCCTTGTATGTGACTGATTTTGGGGAACTACAAAGGTGCAGGAGAAAAGATCCTGTATTTGCCAATTTAAGAAATATTTCCATTAAGTGAGGCTTTAAGCTAAAGAGTGGTATTTCATGCCACTCGTATTTCAGTGTGCTTTCTTTTCGACTTAGCATGTTATAAGAATTTTCTCAGGTTAATTGTTGAAACATAATTACCAGCCTTTAAAAAAAATTGTCATTCACCATTACAGGTGTGAGTAGCTCACACCTGTAATCCTAGTACTCTGGAAGGCTGAGGTGGGTAGATTGCCCTAAGCTCACAGGTTCGAGACAAGGCAAGAGAATTGCTTGAGCCCATCAGTTGGAGGTTGCTGTAAGCTGTGACACCATGGTACTCTATCAAAGGTGACAAAATGAGACTGTCTCAAAATAAAATAAAATAATAGCTCTTCTGGTAAGTCATGTAAATATAAGGAACAACTGCAAAAAGCAGAAATCTTTAGTTGTGGATCATTATAAATTGATAGACACAGCCATCCTTAGATGTACCTTTTCACATTATTGCATGTACAAAGTATGACTATAGAGACTTTGTAATTTGCTCCTAATTAACTCATTGATAAAAAGCACAGATGTTCCAGATCTATTGATTAGAAGCAAAACCTAAGTTCATTATAATTTTTCCACCTACCTGATAGCGTAAGTTTCAGTTCAGATGGTCAAGTGTCAGTAATTAGATAGAGAAACATATTGGCTGGGCATGGTGGCTCACACTTGTAATCCTAGTATTCTGGGAGGCTGCGGCTGGTGGATTGCTTGAGTTCAGGAGTTCAAAACCAGCCTGAGCAAGAGTGAGACCTTGTGTTTTCTAAAAAAAAAAAAAAAAAAAAGAAAAATAGCTGGGTATTGTGGCTGGTGTCTGTAGTTCCAGCTAATTAGAAGGCTGAGGCAAGAGGATCACTTGAGCCCAGGAGCTTGAGGTTGCTGTGAGCTATGATGGCAGAGTACTCTAGCCTGGGGCAACAGATTAAGACTCTGTCTCAAAAAACAAAACAAAACTAAACACACACACAAAGATTTTAAAAAAGAGAAAATATTAAGTTACACTGTCTACCAGAAATACCTAAAGGCAGAATGACTATATAAGTACTATTAGAGATCTCTGATATCAGAACTAGAGTATTTTTGTTTGTTTGTTTTGTTTTTGAGACGGTCTCAAGCTGTAGAGTACTGTAGTGTCACAGCTCACAGGAACCTCAAACTCTTGGGCTTAAGCAATTCTCTTGTCTAAGCTTCCCAAGTAGCTGGGATTACAGGCATTCACCGCAACACCCGGCTATTTTGTTGTTGTTGCCATTGTTGTTTTAGCTGGCCTGGGCTGGGTTTGAACCCGCCAGCTTCTATGTATGTGGCCAGTGCCCTACCCACTGAGCTATGGCTGCCATAATTTGGTAGAGATACTTTTTCATGATTGGCAATGATTTTTTGAGATAGTTTTGCTGCTGTATAAACACTTTGGTTAAAGTGCTGGTCTGGTTAAGGAGGATAAGTATTTCCTGTATATCTTTCAATACATTGACTTGTTTATAGAGGTAGGAGAATATTGCTGGACCATACAGATTAGTCTTATCTTGGCTAGTTGAGAATTGATGAGTTGCATTTTGTGGAAAAATCTCATTGCCAAATACTGCAACATTAAGGTAATACATACTTAAGAAATAGACCAACATGTTTTTAAGTAAAAAAAAAAAAAAACAACTACGTGAATGAAGAGGAGTTTTAAGTGATGATGGTGTACATATAATTTGTGCATTTAAAAGCTCACAGTAGAAATACCTTTTTTTTTTTTTCTGAGGCAGAGCCTCAATCTGTTTCCATGGGATAGAGTGCTGTGGTGTTATAGCTCACACCAACCTCAAACTCTTGGGCTCAAGCGATCTTATCTCAGCCTACCCAGTAGCTAGGACTACAAGCACCTGCCATGGTGCCTGGCTTGTTTTTCTATTTTTAGTAGAGATGGGGGTCTCGCTTTGTTCAGTCTTGTCTCAAACTCCTGAGCTCAGGTTATCTACCCACCTCTGCCTCCCAGAATGATAGGATTACAGGCATGAGCAACTTCATTCAGCCTTCAAATTTTTTAAATTTTTTTCTAATCAGCATCTCAGTTTCAATTCTGAATTTGCATAATCATATTTGGACATAGCTAAAGGTGAATTTGGTTTACTTAAAAAATTGGTCAAAATCACCCCAAGAGGTCATGTGCTCTCTCATGTGTTCTTTGTAGAACAATTTAAAGCTTTGGTTGTGTTTTGCCACCTTGCCTTTGTTTTCTATACTTTCACCAAAGATAGCAAACTTTAAAGTAGCCTCTTTTTTATGTGTGTTTTTTAAAATTATGTTTTCTGGGCTTTTTGATACTATTCCATTCTCAAAAAGTAAAACACTTGTGTAATGGCTGATTTTTCTTATGCCCATGAATGAGGGCTTGGGGTGGACCAAACACTCTTAATAAGTATTTTGGAAAGAATAAGCTTGCTTCCCAATATGAAGAAGTAGCTAACAGGTTTTGATGATAGGACACACAAATAAAAAACCATAAGAGGCTTGAGTCTCCAAACAGATGTTAAAGCTACCCTGAGTAGAGGGCAGAGTAGAAAAGGTTGTTTTGGGTTGGAAGGCATTATCTGTAGCTCTCAGTTCTGTTTTGGACTAACTGATAAAAGTTACTTGCATAGGAATGTAAATTACATAAATGAGGTGATTTCAGTTCTTTTTTTTTTT